GAAGTCTGGCCATCATGTGCTTTATATAAATGTTCATCTGCTATATACACAATATGAGATAAAGAAGGTATTCATAACTATAATTCGTGATTAATTATATCTTGGAGGGAAAAAAAAAACTCCTGAGGTTTTTGGTTTTTTTCAATGGAAATGACACCAACATCTGGCCTTTCATGCATTTTTAACTGGATTTTTCTGGGTACTTATTATGACCTGATACTTTTTTTTTTTTTTTAAGGCAGAATTTGAAAATGTAATTTCAAATGCTTAAAAACAAAATTTCACTAGTTAAATGCTGACATAAAAGGGTTCAGTCCCATGGTTAACCTTTTCTAGATCACAGATTACTTTGAGAATGTGATGAAAACTATGGTGATCCTCTCTCCAGAAAGAGATGAACGCCTTTTTTCATACTTTTCCAGGGAGATTCATGGAAAGACCCTGGAGGCCTGCCCACAGATATGAGACTAAGAGCACAACTTTCTTCTACAGTTTGCCAACAGGAATCCTCTTTAGTCTTCTATCTGGCAGCCAGTAGGCTTTTCCATCTTAATAACTGAGGTTTTGTCCCCCATCTCTAAGCCTGAAAGCCAAGTCTATTTCCTTCTTTACTCCTACCCCTTCTCTCTTCACCCCTGCCTGTGCTCTAGTCTATAAAACAAAAATATTGGACTCAAATATTACTTTCAAATCCTGATTTGGTCACTTTCTAGGTTATATCACCCTGGCCAAGTATTTACCTCTGTGAGATAGCTACATTTCTTTATCGGTAATACAAAACTATCACTTGTTTATTTACTCCCATCCACCAGGCCCACTCTAAGAATTAGGAATTATTCTTTCTCACAGGAACCTAGGACTTTGATTAGAAACTATCAAATAATTCATTCTCATTCTCTTCCCTCCCCCTTGGATTATAAACTTCTTGAAAACAGGAAATATCCTTCTATTTCCTTCTTATTTCCCCTCTGCTTATTACATTTTACTTGTAAAACTACCACAAGAGTTGCTGACTTAGTTGAGCACTGATTTAGAATTCAGGTCTAAATTCCATTCTAGTTTCATCATTAACAACTTCTGTATTTCCTAACAACTTTCCCATACTTCACCTCCAGATGAAAACGTGAAACAGAAATCACAAATAACTTTGTGAGTGGCTTTGTTACCTTGTAATATCACTTATAGAAATATCTTCATAGCACTTGTATTTTAACAACGAAAACTATGTAAGTTACTTAGCCTGAAATTAATGCATAAATTTCATAATTTTCTTTTATGCTAAAGCAGCTTTGAAAATTTAATTTGTGCCTACTTTTCTATAAATCTTCAGAGTAAAATCTTACAAAGAGTTACACAGCTGTATGACATTCACTGACAATAGGATTGCTGCTTTTTAGGAAGGGCATTGTCAAGATATGATGCCACAGTAAGTTATATTCCAAAAAAAGAAAAAATCCTACAGATAGTATTAGCAAAAGAACATTGTTTGGCGATGAGGTAGTGTATGAAATACTTATTATAGGATTGGTTGTATGTATTATACATCTTCTGCTTCAGCTAGCCTTTAGTATAGAGTTTCTTTCAGGCAGACCTGGAATTAGGTCTCTCACTCATGTGGTTTCAATTAAGTTCTGTTAAAAATAGCTTGTAATATAAGCATTTTCATTTTTAGCACAACACTTTACTACTCTTAAACCATACAAAGAATAAGTTTTAGGAAAAAAGATCCAAGGATGTTGCATATTACTCTGGTGTTGGCTCTTTATAACCTGAAATCTTCTATTTTGGTGTATCATAGTCTTCTAATATCAGTTATTTGGCTCTTATTCTGTGATACAAATATATATATTTGTAATATATTTTGCATATATGTATCTATGTGTATATTTATGTATGAAAAGCATACAGAAGAATATACCTTTCTTAACTAATTAAAAGCAAATGATAAGAACCTCAATACAATTTCAGCAGAGTGATATAAATAAATGTAGAATTTTTTAATTTCAGATCATTTCAGCCAGACATACTACTTCATAGACTTCTACTTCACATTCATATCTTCCAAATAGTGAAAATGCAGCCACAGCTGTTATGGCCTGCCATTTGTATTTATTATAATATCTGGAAAGAAAAAAATAATAGATTAAATATATATCACAAGAGATGTTCAATAGTTATTAATTATTATTAATTATTAATATTAACCAGTCTTCAGAGGCTTTTGATGCCAGACCACTCTAGTTACAATCCATCAAATCTTAGTAAACAAATTCAGAGCTCATAGAAAAAGAAATGTACTGAGGACAATTCTCTTTTTGAATATAAGGAGACCTGTTCAATAACATTCCGTTGAAAAGCCAAATAAAGACTACTGTCAATGACCATGATAGGATCATTAACCCCAGCTTCATAACCTGAACCAATCGATCCAATTGTGCTTCTCATCCCTGTCCTTCTCATTCCTGTCAACCTAGGCACAAGCTCCTCCCACTCTTCCTTTGCATATTCCTTCTCTTCCTTGCTCAAGTTCTTCTCAAATAGAGGATTCTGAAGCCTTCTCCCCTAAATCTTGTACCAAGAGATCCAGAGTGGAGCCAGCTTTACACTGCCACTTTCATACACCTCAACTCCTGGCCTGATTGACTGGCTTATATAATGGTTCTCAAATTTAATATTCTACATTAGAATTACCTGGAAAGCTTTCAAAAATCCCAATATCCTGGCCATATTCCATACCAATTAGGTCAGAAGCTCTGGGCAAGGGAAATCCAATATGCAACTAAATTTGAGAACCAGAGACCTGTATCTTCACTACTCACAGTGTGGTCCATGGACCAGTAGCTTCAACATCCCTAGGAACTTATTAAAAATGTAGACTTGTGTGGCTCATTCCAAACTTAATGAATTTTAACAGAATCTCAAGCAATTCATAAGCACATTAAAATCTGGGAAGCAGTGACCTATACAGTCCTCTGTTGTTGTTGTTGTTATGTGCCGTCGAGTCAGCCCTGACTCATAGCAACCCCTCCTTGGGTTTCCGAGGCAGTATCACTATGGTAGTAGGATTGCCCAACCTTCCTTCCAAGGAGTGGCTGGTGGGTTTGAACCGCCAGTCTTCTGGTTAGCAGTCAAGTGCCTTAGCCACTATGCTACCAGAGTTCCCATACAATCCTCTACTCCTCCTTATTTCTGTCTTTACTAACTTCAGGCACTTTCTCCTCATTTATTAAAGATTTTGACACCTGGTTCACAGTCATCTACTGCACTTGGCAGTACTGAAGATGACTGTGAACCAGGTGTCAAAATCTTTAATTAATAAGCCCACTCAACTATCTAATGGCACTCACCCGTTACTTCCACAACCTTTACATATACTTCCAGGGCCATGCCCTATTATCTCCCCTTGCATCATCTAGAACACATCATTTCTGAAACTCTACAATCCAAGAAACCTTGAAGTCATCCTTCAACTCTCCTTCTCTATCACTACCCTGTACCAGTATTAAGCCCAGTCATTTATATGAATAAAAATATCAGACTGGTTTTCAACTGGTTCTCAAACTCCAGACTTCATGAATCTGATTACTGAGGCCAAGACCTGGGAATTTTCACTATAAATAAATTCCTAAAATGACCTGAGCACCACAGTTTGAGATACACAGGCTCAAATCCTTATTTTCTCAACACTTTTTTCCAAACTTGCACCTGGTCTTTCTGCTTCTAGACACACTTTCTTTCCAAGCCACCTCCAAAATGACCCAATTAAAAAGCAGATTTGACCAAGATAAAGTAAAAAATCCATATGGCATATGAGACTCTCTGTAATATAATCAATGATTACTACTTAAGCCTCAGTTTTTAGAGAATACAAGCTCTTCTCCATCCGAACATGATTTTCAGCTCCTTAGCTATCTGAGGATGCTTTAAGAAGACTCTGTGCCTTCAGAAGGACAAATATAGTATTAGTTCATTATTGTAAAAAGTCAAGGAAAGGTTTATATATGGAAGGAAACTTTCTTTGTTGGTTACCAGGAGTGGGAGGGGAAAGAAGGGAACACTTCCAAAAAAAAAAAAATGCATCGATTCATGCCACTTTAGTTTTGTGTATTTCACTATACATAAATTATATTTCAGTAAAATATTTTTTTTTGTTTTTGTTTTTAAAAATGACTGTGGCTTTATTTATGCTATTCTCTCTACCTATAAGGCTTATGCTCAGAATGTTCCTCATGGCCTCAGCTCATTCTCAAAAGGATTTTCCACCTTTCCCATGTTTTCTACCAGGGTCTCACATATAGATAGCTCCATTAAAACACCTATACCTACACTGGATTTGGATACATACATGACTTTTTTCAATGAAATGATCAACTTCATGAGGACAGCAACTATGTCTTTATCTCAGGATCAGCAGCAAATGAGAGCCAGGCTCAATAAATGTTTGCTGAGTGAATGAACCAACCAACATAGAGCTTCATTTTTTCATACTATAGCAATATGACACCAAAGCAACAGGTTAAAGATGGAAAGAAAAGGTAAAGGTAGAAACATGGATGAATTAATGTACCTATAAATTACTCATCTACTGCTGTAACTGTAAGAAAGTACAGAACAATGATTGTTCAACCCTCTTCTTTGGAAAAAGGCCTCTGTTTAGATAAAATAGAATACACGTCTAACATAAAAAGCAAAGAGAAGCAGAACTGCTTTGTCTGGACGATCTGGGAAACTGAGTTGTTGTTGTTGTTGTTTGCCGTCCAGTCGGCCCTGACTCATAGCGACCACTCCTTGGGTTTCTGAGGCAGTATCACTACGGAAGTAGGATTGCCCAACCTTCCTTCCGAGGAGTGGCTGGTGGGTTTGAACCGCCAGCCTTCTGGTGAGCAGTCAAGTGCCTTAGGCACTATGCTACCAGAGCTCCTGGGAAACTGAGAGTCCTACCTAATTTACTCCCTATCCCCTATTTGACAGCTATCCATCAAACTATTAGAGTCAAGAAATCAGGTTCTAGATGTGATTCTGCCAGTCATTACTTTTATGACCTCAGGCAAGCCACTTATCATTCTAGTCCTATCCTTTTTGTTATCTACAAAATGAGCAGAATAGATTAGATAATTATATGGTTCTCAAATTTAAAATTACTTTGAGAGCTCATGGAATTGCAGATTCTTGACTCATATCTCTATAAACTGAAACTTACCAGGTCTGAAGGGATTCTGACCCAAGTGGTCAGAGGACCGCATGTTGAAAAACTTTACACTAGACATTCCCTAAGGCCTCCTCTTTCTGGCTGTCACCATTCTGTGACCTCTACTTACCTACTTTACTTTATCACATCTTTTTCGTACTATTTTAGTGGTTCATTTTCACCAATTGTTTTCTTTAATCAGCACAATGTCAATGTTCATGAACAAGCAGCATATTAAACAGGGTCCCAGACCATCAAAAGTAAACTTCACTCTGTAGTCTTGATTAGATTACTGCCAAACTAGCTAAAACTGTAAATGCCAGAACTAAAAATAGGCTGCTGCATGTTTAAAATAACACTGCTCACTAGTTGGCCTGAGGCTTTGCTATTTTTATTAAAGGAAAGGCAAAGACAAAGGCCAGCAGTTGAAAGAGAATGACTTAGATGAGGAGGCTGCTGTTACAGTGAGAACCTAGAAGCCAAGAGGTAGTACCTTTGGTTCGACATGCATCAAAGGGGGAACTCTCTGTGAACTAATGTAAAAATTTTGTCTTAGTTGTAATTACATCTGTACAATAAAAAGAACCTCTCAGATACATTTTGCTTTAATTTATTACATACTTAAGCCCAGAATTTTTATAATATGTGATGCAGATATGACAGATCAAAAAGATCAATTTAAGAGAAGTTTCTGGTTTTATTTTTAACTTTTTATTTAAGTATTATACACACACAGACAGAAAATGTGTGTACAGCTTGAGGGTTTTCATAAACTTAACACACCCAACATCCAAATAATGAAATGCAATATTATTACCATCCTAGAAGTCCTTCTCATAATCCCTCCCAATTAATATTCCCACACCGTCAAGGGCATCCACTATTCTCTTTTCCTTCATAGTTTTGTTTCTGGTTTTGTACTACATATAAATAATACAGGGAGCTCTGGTGGCATAGTGCCTAAGGCACTTGACTGCTGACGAGAAGGCTGGCATTCAAACCCACTAGCCACTCCTCAGAAGGAAGGTCGGGCAATCTACTTCCGTAGTGATACTGCCTTAGAAACCCAAGGAGGGGTCATTATGAGTTGGATCTGACTCGACGGCAGTGAGTTTTTTTTTTTTTTAAAGAAATAATACATAGTTGTCTGGTTATATAATATATAAATAAGACTAAATGTTCACTATTATATATTATAATATTATATTATAATACTATTATAATTATAATGCTATTGTGCCTGATTCCTTAGGTTTGTGAGATTCATTAATATTATTGCATATAACTACATATTGTTGATTCTCATTGATATGTAATATTCCAATGCACAGTATTTATTTATTCATTTTACAGCTGATGAACATTTGGATATTTTCTAGTTTGTGTCTATTATAAATAGTGCTGCTACGAACATATGAACACATTTTAGATGGGTATATTCCTAAAAGTACAACTGCTGAGTCTTCAGGTATGCATATGCTCTGGTAGCATAGTGGCTAAAGCACTTGACTGCTAACCAGAAGGCTGGCGGTTCAAACCCACCAACCACTCCTCAGAAGGAAGGTTGGGCAATCCTACTTCCGTAGTGATACTGCCTCGGAAACCCAAGGAGGGGTCGCTATGAGTCAGGGCCGACTCGACGGCACATAACAACAACAACAACAGTTTTAATATACATTGCCAAACAGTTTTCCAATGTAGTTGTACCAATTTATACTCCCATCAGCAGTGTATATGAGTTCTGGTTGCTCCACATTCTCATCAACACTTGATATTTTCCATCTTTTCCTTTTAGCCATTCTGGTAGAAGTACAATGGTATTATAGTTTTAATTTATATTTCTGTTATGACTAATAAAGTGAGCACTTTTTAATATATGTATTAGCCAATTTATATATATATATATATATATATATATATAGTTGTTGTTATGTGCCGTCACACACACACATACACACATACACACACAGAGATTCTCTTTTATTAGTATCTGTTCAAGACCATTTTAAGTCAATAGCTTAAGCTAATTTTTCAAAAGATGAAATATTTATCTTTTAAGAAATTATTTTACTCAGGTTCTGAAACCAACCAGACGTTTCATGATTTTACAATTTCCACTGTGTGCAAAAACTCTCAGAATATATTTTATAACTGAAGTTTGAGTGTACATAAATAGTTCATAAAGAAAAACTGTTTCATAATATTAAAAAAGTAGACTTTGCATTTATATTATAATACCTTGAGGAATATCTTTACAAGGAGAGTATTTCTTCTTTACAGTAACACCTTTAATTTTTACTTGTCTAGTTCCTGGTGATGCTCTAATAATACAACAAATTTCTGATATATTTGAAGGAATCTGAAAAATAAAAAAAAGCAGAAATAGCATAGTTTCCTCAGATGTTATATTTGTATGTTGTTATATTTTGAAAGCAAAGTAAATAATAATCTCAATATTTTGTAGATATTAATAATAGCAAACATTTATTAAATACTTATTCTAAAGATTAATGGGTTTTAAAACATTTGCTCATTTAATACTTATAGAACCAGGCAAGGCAGATTATATTATTTCCATTTTATGAATGAAAAAACTTAGGTTCAGAGAGGTTAGGTAAGGTACATACAGTCAGAAAGCAAGCAATGGTAGAGTTGAAATTCAAGTACTCAAAAGTGGGAGAGAAAGTTTGTATGATTTACTGAATTAAAATGCAAATGTAAATTTAACTTTGGGTCAACCACTAGTGTTCCTTGATTTTCCAATTCTATTAATTTTGATAACTTTCCATTTAGTAGACCTTCTCTGAAATAACAAAAATCTGTATCTTTTGGTAGTGACGTGTCTAGTTTCTTAGAACTTAGAAGTAGTGACGTAAGTTTATCAGGGATTCCTCCTATTCTAAATAAAGTATACATATAATATCTATTTTTCTATTGTTAAATTCATATCATCCTCTGTGGTGGACATCTGCTATTTTTCGTACTCAGCATTCATTTTCTATTCTTCTGGTACTAGTATTCTGAGCTTTCTTGGGAGTATCTACCTGCTTTACAGCCTACCCCGCCCTCCTTATGGATCAGATAGGGCTGATGACACATATAAGCACCAGGGATAGCCACAAGGCCCAGCCTAAGCAATCAACATACTCATTGATCCTGGCCACAGTGACTGGTTCAGACAGGGGCACTATAAATGGGCCAGCAGAAAGAAGGGAACACTAAATCTGAGATTCCTGCACTAAGCTAGAATCCATATAAAGGTTTAAAGTGGTCTCAGATTAATACTCTGCCCTTGCAATGGTTCTAGAAGTAGAAACGGATAGAAATCCTCCCAGGAGAATAGACCTCCAATTTAGGGTCATAGGATTCCTATTAATTAAGATAAATAAATTTTCAGAGTCAGTGTCAGAGTTGTCCTTCAAGATTCAGTTCAGAATAGTTCCACACAGAGATGGACAAAATATAATTCACTACCTCCTAAAATTTTATTATGACAATAAAGAAAATAACAAACTTGCAAGGAAACAAGCTACTATGAGTGAGACTTTACAGGAATATCAAGCAATGGATTTAAACCCTCAGAACACGAGATATTGGAATCTCCAAACCAAAGCAGAACAGCAATATATACAATGATCAAATAATTAAGATAGAAACTTAAGGATAGGCAAGAAAAAAAATGAAAAGCAGAAATGAAAAAGAAACAATCAGAGCTTTTTTCAATAAGCAATAAACACTTTGAAATAAAAAACTCAATAGGTAGCTTAAGCAACAGAGTAGCCCAGGCCTCAGGCATACAGAGACACTCTTATAAAGCAGGATACTACAAGGGCTCAGAGTCACCCTCCAGAAGCCAGGCTACAGGGCAAGTCCTGGAGACCTTAGGAATGTGCAGGATTTGAGCAGCTCAGGTCTGCTGAGTTAACCCTTTCCTGCACACCTGTCATTTACAAATAAATGACAATCAGTGTAAGAGGAAAAGTCTCAACAGTAACACAGAAGCCAGAAGACAGTGGATTGATTACCATCAAAGAACAGAGAGAAAACTGTCAGCTTGTGTACCAATTAAAACTATCCTTCAAGAATGAAGGCAAAGTAGAGACATTTTAAAAAACGTGAGGCAGTCTATCATTAAAAACTTTCACTAAAGGAATGAATCTAGATAATGAACTTCAAAAAGAATACAATCCTAGAACAATAGTTTAAGAAGAAAGAAGTGTTTTAGGCTGGGTTCTCTAGAGAAGGAAAACCAGTGAAGCTGAGAAAGACAGAAGATATTTATCTCAAGGAAATGGCTCATGTACTTGTAAAGGCTGTCAAGACCCAAGTCCATGGGTCAAAAGTCAAGCTGAAGGAGTCTCCTGACTCAGGCAGCTGCAGGGGCTGACAAACCCAAGACTGGTAGGTGTTTTGGTTCTCTAGTGCTGCTCTAACAGAAAATACCACAAATGGGATGGCTTGAACAAACAGGGATTTATTCTCTTAACATTTTGGAGGCTAGAAGTCCAAGTTCAATGTGCCAGCTCTAGGGTTTGGGTGAAAGCCCCTCCACCGTGGGCTTCAGCCTCTGCCTCTTGCTCCAAGACCACTGAAGTGGGAAGCTTCTTTTAACTCAGGCAGCTGTTGGCTGCTCAGGCTGACAAACCCAAGGTTGACAAACAAAATGGCAGAGTCCCAACATTATCAAACTACACAGCAGGTCACTGGTTCAAGTCCAGAGATAGTTCCAAGATCAGCAGGAAACATGGCAGGCTGCTGAATGAAGACTCAGTTACATGCAGAGTCCAAGCATGCCAAAAAGCTGCAGAGATATTTCTCATATGCTGGAAGCAGACCATATCCCTAAGACAGCTACTCAGTTGCTCCAGTAGACTCCACCATGGAGTTGATTATCAATTTCATCATGGTGATAACTACATCCGGCTGCCCAGACACTCAAAAACAGGCCCAACCAAGTTGACACACAACTACCACAGCCTGCAATACAGCAAGCCCTTGGCTTTGGAGGTTGACAAATCCAGGATAGGCAGGAAAAACAGCAGAGAGTTGCCCTCACAAGCTATGAGGGAGACAATCACGTGATCAGTAGGCAATATGGCAGGCCACTTGTTCAAGTCCAGATGATGATAAGCCAGATGCAGGATCTCCAGCAAAATGCCAGAGATCTTTGCCAGGACATCAATACACACTGGAAGTAGGTCACACCTTTGAGGGAACTCCCTTTCAACTAACCGGCTGCTCACAGCAGATCTCATCATGGAAGTGATTACATTATATCATCTTTTATCATGGGGAATAGCTACATCATTAACTGCTAAACTACTGAGAATCACAGCCCACTCAAGTTGACACACAACTTTACCTATCATAGTAGGTAAACTTAAATGTATGTAAATATTAACATTGCCTGAATAAATTAATAATATTAATTTTAGTAATAATAATGCTAATGATGATAATTTGTGGAGTAAAATAAAAAAAACAGAACCAAAATACTGTAAAACAAAATCATACAATGTGGAAGGGAATGAGTGAACTTAGAATATTATAAGATCCTTACATTTTTCAGCAAGAGAGTTGAGTTACTGTTTTAGACTTTATTAACTTAAATATATCAGCTAAAATTTCAAGGGTGGCCATTATAATAATAGAACTAAAAGCTGTTGCTGTCAAGTCTATTCCAACTCACAGAAACATTACAGAACAGAGTAAAACTGCCTCAAAGAGTTTCCAAGGCTACAATCTTTTTTTTTTTTTTTAATTGTGATTTGGGTAAAGTTTACAGAGCAAATTCATTTTCCATATAGCAGTTCGTACATATTTTGTTTCATGACACTGACTACAATCCCCACAATTTAACAGCTTTCTACCCTATAGTTACCTTTTCCCTGTGTGTCCTTCTTTCCTATGCATTCCTGCCTCCCGAGCTATCCCCCTGTGCAAATACATACCATCCCCTTCTGTTCTCCCATGATTGATAATTCTAAGGAGTGTATCTACCTGGTGTAAATGCTTACCCTATATGCTTGTCTATTATTTACCTGGAAGCCACAAGAGTGAGTTCAATTCCAGGCCTAAAGGCTAACTAGGGGGCCATGGTCTCAGGAGTTTCACCAGGCTCTATCAGACCAGTAGGTCTTTTTTTTTTTTCCCTTCTTTTTATGACTTTGAGTTTTGTTCCTGTTCTGGTTACCTAGTACCGCTCTGACAAGAGTATACCACAAATGGGATGGCTTAAACAAACAGGAGTTTATTCTTACAATTTGGAAGCTTTAAGTCCAAGTTCAAAGTATCAGGCTCTAGGGGCTAGGTGAAAGCCCCTCAACCTTGGGGTCCAGCTCTGCCTCCTGTTCCCAGCTCACTGGAGCTAGAGGCATTTCTTCACTCAGACAGCTACTACTGGCTGCTGAGGCTGAGAAGCCCCAAGGTTGACAAGTAAAAAGGCACAGTCCTGATGTTACCAAACCACACAGCAGGCCATTAACTTAAGTCCATTGTATGTCCCAAGGTCGGCAGAGCATAGCAGGCTACTGAACCACAACACAACTACATGCAGGCACCAAGCATGCTGTAAGCTAGAGGCTATCCCCAAGGCTTCTCCTTATATACAGAAAGCAGACCACATCTCAAAGGCAGCTACTCAGCTGCTTGTGGTAGATCCCACCATGGAGTTGATTGCCAGTCACATCATAGGGAATAACTACCACCAGCTGTCCAGCCACTCAACCAGGCCCAGCCAAGTTGACACACAAATATAACCACCACAGTTCCACATAGGTCTCCCATTCTATCCAGGATCTCCTGCACTTATCCCTTTCCCTCTGGTTGACAGTGATAGCCAGGCACCATCTAGTTCTTCTGGTGTCATAGTCACATAGGCTGAGGTTTGCATGGTCCACTAGTCCCTTGGACTAATTGTTTCCGTGTGTCTTTGGTTTTCTTCATTCTTCTTTGCTAAGGATGAGGAGAGACCAATTGTTACATCTAGATGGTTGCTTGCAAGTTTTTAAGAACCCAGTCGCTACTCACCAAAGTAGGATGTAGAACAATGTTTTTGTGTAGTATGTTATGCCAGGTGAGCTTGATGGCCCCTGAGACCACAGTCCCAAGCCCACAGGTCCAACAACTTGCTCCATCAGGGTGGATGACTATGGCTAAGAAGTTATCATAACTTTGCCCACTGTTCATTCTATTTGCCCACTGTTCATTCTATTTACATGGACATTCTTACAGTACATACAAATATGCATGTACAAATATCATCTGCCAACCTAAAAAATGTTCATGGGTATATTCTCTTTTGCCTAGACATGTCTGATCACTCAGCATCTCTACCCATCTATTTACCCATACATTAAT